GACACATAACTTTTGCTTTCTTTTTTGAAAAATTTACATAGTTCGGCGAATTCGATCTTGCACATCGTTGTTTTAAATTTGGTAGCGACGATGTGCAAAACTGCACATTGCCACCATTGTTGAATTGACATCTAAACGGGTCAACGAGTTTTGCCGAATTCGTGTCTGCACATTGATGAGCATGTTTTCAACGATGTACAATTCGCCGTCACTTCGGAAATGCAGATTGTTGAGACGGAAAAAGACCTTGAATAGTTTCTAAATGCAATTCGCTCCTCGATACACTTCGCACATTTGGTATGTTTACACAGTGCTCGAAGTACAATTCGCACGGGAAAACGCAATCTGCGAATTTGTGTTTGAATGCCTTGGCCGCACCACTCGACAAAACAAATAATCAATGACGGTGTCGGGATCGAACATGTTCAAGTACAATATCATTATGTACAGACGATGTGGAAATTTTACGGAATGAATCAGCACACACATGCAAACCAGATACTCCTCGTTGATATTGCTGTTATTTATTATATATACATATTTATTACCGTACGCAAGAGATACGGACAATGTTAAAGCTAATTAAGTGAATATGGGACTAATTGAGAGAGAAATGTTGACGGGATGAACTGAACAGCTTCATGGAACGAATTGAGAAGTCAATTCGGGACGAACTAAGAGTAACCATTTAAAAATATACAAAAGAAACAGTGTGCGACAGAAATAAAAATCAGACAGGTTGTCCATCTCCGGGGGATAGTACAAACGCTGAATTAGCGTTATGAGAATTTTGTCGATTATCATTCCCTGTCAAAATACTGACTGGCACTCCGGCCAGTTGTTGTTGATCACTGGCATCTGGTGCAACAATATTTTGATCGCGAATAATACTTTCAAACCAGATGAAAAATCGTGAAATTATAATTCGCCGTCGTTCCAACAAAGTTTTGATGTAGAAATGATACGTTTTAAATAGAAGAATAGTAATAATAAAACCGATAAAAACATCTACACTGTAGTGGAAACGTGTGGCAATAATGATAATGTAGCCGGTAATAGCATAAAGCCAAATGATATAAGATGTGAGATAGAGTGTCATTGGATCACCTGTAGCATCTAGTTTTGGATAGAAAAAACTGCGCCAAAAGCGTTGCCATTTTGTAAACGAAATTTGTTCTTCATCAGTATTATTTGGTAAATGAATGTCAGCGGTACTGCGACGACGTATTTTTCGATATATCCAAATAAATGGAATATATTCTTCACCTTTACTATAATTTGTCCAAAATAATGCACACAGAGTGACTAAATACAGAGAAACATGACGTTAAGAAAAAGGTGTCAGAGATTGTAAAACTATCGTCTTTACTTGTCATCGTGTGTCCACTGAACATAACATCGCCACACGTTGATTTAATTGTTAACATAACATAGATAGCTTGCATTCCAGCATCACCTTCTGTCGTTGTAATGTTGCAGCCAGGTTGAGGAACAGTGAGTGATGTGATGTAAATAGAAATAGATCTCAAACCAAACATAACTCCTTGTAGAAATAACCATCGTCGAAATACAATTAGACGAATATTTGTTTGAAATATGTAGCGAATAAAAACTGAGGCAAACATGATGAACAACCAATAATCATTGAATTTATAATAGTACCAATAGGGAAGAATTCTATGTCCAACATCTTTAGTAAAAAAAAACTCGACTTCAAATGAGTTTTTAACTACATGTGCTAAACATACCTGGTAATGCTGGTAGAAATTGTGGTGATTGTCTATCAGCTATCACTGTCAACAATGAATTGATATAGAGGAAAATAAGAAACCAGACGAAAGCAAATGCTAAGGGTAAAAACTTTTTAATAGTGTCATAATTTATACGAGGACAATGAAACATTGAATCTAGAAAAATAACAAAACAGAAAAATAATACTGCGTTATCACATGAACACAAATTTTCATACTTTTTATCAGAGAATACCTTCGATATTTTATTTATCTTGTTTTTGATACAGCAAACACGTTTATCTTTTTGGCCATGTCATCAGCAGACCTGAATGTTTTTATAAGGTCACCTTACCTTGCTCTATAAAATTTTACGAGCAATACTCAACCTCACAATACTTAACGTACATCTATCACTAGGTCGACCGTAATATAATATAAAACGCAGCTGAGGTTCAACACTACCGTTTGCTCGCTAACATTAATATCACTGTGATAGGTGTACTGTTACTTTTAAACTCGTCATGAGAAAGCGTCGTATCATGTTAAGTATTTTTTTAACTGCACTTCAATTTTTTGCACAAAATCTCGCTAAAAAATACTTATTCAACAAAACAAAGTATACCCGAAAATTTAGCAACAAATTCTCCACAAACTGAGTTTTTTAATGAGAAATAATAATTTTTTAAATGAAATCTGAGTGAAAATGAGTCGTTGACAACGGTTATTTCTCCCACTTTTGGACGCATAAAGACATCTGGTATTTCCTAGTTTTTCAGATAAAAAGGTAGCAGTTTTATTTTATAAGTTACGCAGTCTGATAGAGTGCGAAATTCTAGATTTTCTGGTCTATTAATTAATGATTTGAACTTTCGATTTTATACTGAAATAATCAAAAAGCTTTTTTTTAGGGCTTAAAACTTCGGTGAACTTGGATGTTTATCTATTAGAGGCAGAAGTGATAGAAATAAATTAACTCCAAGTAAACTATTTTGTAAAGCATCAAATTCCACATCATTTGACATTGATAAAATTATTTAAACTTTTTTTTGCACAAACAATAAAAAAACGAACAATAATAAACAATAAGAAAAAGAGAGCAGTTTCCACTGTACAACAGCCTTTTTTTTCTAAAATTTTACAACCTCCGACTTTTATCAATTTCTCTCACACAAAAGTTTGCCGTAGAAAGTCAAAAACCATATAATCGTGATCAAATCATCGAGCTCTAACCAACCATATATAAATAAACAAAAAATAAAATCTGTTCGACTTTGGCATTTTCGGCACTTTACTACTTTTGCTCTGTAAAACACGTAGGATGGCTTAACAGAGAAAAACGTTGGATGTACAAACGAGTGCACGCTGGTTCAAATCTCCAAAAATCGAAGACGGTCCGTTATCACGCGTGAAAAGTGAGTGTGAATTGCGTCTTAAGAACAGTAATCTATTCGCGCTTTTTCGAAGTTCTTATACGTGAACAGTTTTCTTTCTTCAGTGGACAATCTTGAAAAGATCTTAGTAAAATCTTCTCAAATTTTCCGGTTGCACGGTCTGTGTAAGATTTATTTAACGTCTTCAACAAATTTAAGCGAAATCTTACTAAGATCTTGGTGAAATTAGTTTAGAATCATTGCAAGACGCAAGAAAGTTTCTCACTATAGAATTGTACATACTTATTCACTTGTTAATTCAATTGAGTTTTGTGCGGTTGTCTCACAGAAAGCAGTTATTATCTATCAATCACGTGATACACTGTTAATCAAAATGCCCTTTATATTCAACTACCAAAGATCGACAAAAAACAAGCAGACGGATTTAGAAGATAAAAAACTCTTAATTTGGCATTATACCGATTGTATGCTCGAAAGTCGAATTTTTAACTTTTTATGTTGCCATGACGTTGTGAAACGTGGGTCGTGTTCACTTCTCTCATTTTATCTACATTAATGATGTTCGGATACCGTGAGATGAATTTTAACACTAATACATTCCAATATTTTATATAAAACTACTCTTTTACCAGTAGATATTACCTAGTTTTATTATTAAATAAAACTATCATAAAATTTAGGAACATTGTCCTTATTATTCAAAAGTACCAGTATCAAGCGACATCTTGGTCAAAACTCAAACAATATGGAGTCAAGATAAAATATCGTGGTGTCTGTCTGTCTGTTAACGTCATCTACAAAACTAGAAAATTCTTGAATTCTGTTATTGTGCGTTCTATAGATTTCTTTAGAACTTTACACATTTCTTAGAATTCTTCAAAACTGGTAAGTTTTGCTGAATTCCACATAGAATTTTATAGATTTCCTAAGATTATGCTGACTTTGATCCGTTACTTACAGTTAAATAAGTTTATTGAATGCTGTACTTTCTCGCTTATGCTCTTTCTGATTTCGTGCTGAACAATGATGGCTGGCATAGTTCCGATTGAAACGGAATTTTCATTTCATTAGGCGAATTAAGTCAAAACAAACTTTCATTTAATATTTTTGGATATTTGGAATTTTTGGAATATCTGGGAGTTTTCGTCGAATTCGACTCAGCTGGAGTGCGAAGCTGGGCGAGAGGCATCAAGAGTGAGTGAAAGAGAATAGAATATCAGCTCATTGACTGCAATCTACTTACAGTCAACTTACCTTTGTTCTTTGCAAAAAACAAAAAAAAACGTCCTTTTCATTTCTTGTTTAACGTTATTTAGAAGCTTATTTTGAAAGCGATGCAAAGTGAATTATTTTAGAATATGATGTGTCCTGTTTGTATTGTCCATCCAAAAAAAGAACAACCCATGGCCATTTCAGGCAGGGAAAAATCCTCATAACACGTTTTGAAACGTATTAATTTATTCAGAAGTAGGTATAAATTGATATAATAGCAGTTCTTGGATACAATCCTGTGCTATCCGCTGATGTTGACCACACTTACTGAATGATCGATTTCGTCGTTGTATAAAAAATATTCTGAACTTATAAAGTTTATTTCACTGCAAATTTCAGCTGAGTTTGAAATTTCAGCAGCGGAGAAAATGATCCGAAATATTTTTATCACTTGAAAATAACTGAAAACAATTAGTTTTTTCTAAAATTCGTTAAAAACAACAAAAAATGATGAAGGAAATTGCACGACAGATCAGAATTGTCGACATATGGAGTTTCATGTGCTCTATCGAAACAACTTTGCAAAAAACTCTAATATTTTGTCGTCAAGTTGAAAAATGGATTTTAATTTTTGTAAAATCATTAATTAAAACGCGTATATCTCACCGAGCATACGTTTCCACCTCCTGAAGAGTTGAGACTTGGATAGGATTCAAAATTCTGAGTTTGTACAGACAGACGGCTACTGTGCCGATCTGTGGATATTTTAAAGATTGAATAAGACTGACATAAAACAAGCACGTGACTTCACGTGAGCACTCACTGCAGCCGGAAGAAAAGAAAAAATTGTCGTTTTTTTAACATATAGTTCAGAATGGTAAAAAGAAAAAACTTGAGCATAGCCTTATTATTCAAAATAAAGTTTATATTCATGATCTAGATGAAAATCTGAATCTAACTGTATAAAATTCGATTAGTTTCTCTCACTTTTTTCTTAGATCTCTAAGCGAGAAACACACTTCTGCGACATCGTTTTTACTTCTTTTCTTTCTGTTTGGTATTCACCAATGGGAAAGCAAGATCCAACATGTATTCTCTGGACCTTCGGCTAAAAGAAGACAACGCTTGTGAAATGCGGCTGAGTGGTGGTCTATAAAAAAAGGAAAACAGGGAAGGAAAAGCCATTGTCTAGGACAATGACATAGACAATGGCTTTTCCTTTCCTTTTTTCCTTTTTTTATAGACCACCGGTTGAGTAGATTGAAAAAATAAGAAACTCCTGTTCGAAGTCTTAAGCAACCAGTAGTAGAAATTAAAGTGAAGGACAAACACAAAAAATAGTCTAACGTCAGAAACTAGTAAGTAAATTGTATTGTTCACTTATTTTCAGCAAAAGAATGTCACAACTAGAGCTGTTCATCATGGTGAAATATGACGTTGTTTTTAACATTTTTCTAACGTACTAAACATCTGTTCTACTCTTGAATCAATTTTAAAAGATCTTAACTCTTTTCTTTTAAAAATATTAGCGACAACTATGGTACATTTGAACGAAAGAACTTATTCTAATCAAACCTATAGTTTTAGAGCTTTTTTAACGCATTTTGTTTAGTCAATAGTGGAGTCTTTCATTTATTTCCTGTCAATGGTGATTCGATTCATCGCATCTTATCTACGCATTACAAAAATGTAAGACAAGAGAGAGGAAAAAGAAAAGAATGAATACGAAAGTATTATATAAAGTAATGAACTAGGATCATATTGAAATTATTTTATGCTCCATCGAGGAGCTATTTGTGGGTTGTAAAGTTTATCCATATATATAAGTATTCAGAACTGTATTCATGAAGTAAAAAAACGTGTAAAGTAAAAACGTGCTTCATCGTATATATAAATTTTATACTCAATGAACTCTGTTAGAACGATGAACCACGCCCTTCCTTTTCTTTCTTATTAGCATTTACTTGTTATCTTTTATTATACAATCAAGTCTAACATATGAGACATTTTTCAACTATGTTGCTAAGAAAAACATCATCACTTACTTGAATGTATTTATTTTTCTAATTTATTCACCATTGCTCACAAATAACTGAATTATAAAATATTTGTGTAAACGACAAAAATGTGAATGAAGTTGTAGAAGAAAATGGAAAAAAATATTTTCATTTTGTAGCTTCGATTTTTCTCGCTGTCATATGACGAGTTTGGTTATAGGCAGACGTACAACGAAGAAGGAGAACAACAAAAAAGCCTCGTATTACAAAAGTATAGTAGAAATGAGAAGAGAAACGGAAAGATTTCTCTAGCATCAGTTCGAAGAGTTGAGAAGAACTGAATAATAGTTGTCATCATCATACATTCACTTTTTAATATAAATTTATTTTTTATCAATATTATTTTTGAAATTTGTTTTCATTATTTAAATTTAACCATCATCGTTCTTGATTTTTCTCGTCTTTTGAAAAAAAGTGTAATTAACTATAATATGTGCGTGACTGGAGAAGAATCATAGTGGAAAAATATCCAAAGCTATTCTGTTTTAATTGATACTGGTATGCGGTTATAAATAATAGTATAGTACCACTTATGTAATATTCCAATGGGTACATTTTCTGTGTACAAATATTTGCATTATAAACACTGTTTGAATACCCTTTTGCTCTTCAAATAAAAGTTAAAATTACTGTTTAATTGCAATAAACAGATATTCGATTTACTCATTTACAGTTCAAGATCAAAAAGAAAACGTATGTTGAAAGTGAACAGCCAAGGTGAAAAGAGACTAAGACAGATGAACTGGTGCTTTAGCCTAATTCATATTAGTTATCTAAAAAAATCCAATGATGACAACGACCAGTTTAGACACAGTTGCTATTTAATTTGTTAAACATAAAAGATAAACAATTTGCTTTTGTCAATGGGGTTTCAAAAATGTTAGATATAATTTGAATTTAAACACAGAATTTTTTCCATCATCTAGAGATGACGATGTCCAAGCGAAGTGTCTATGGTAGTCTGAAGAGGGAAATAGGTGATTTAAATCAACCAAAAATCAATGGATTTTCAGTGATACTCTATGATTTTCAATGATTTCCAGTCATTTCGGGTGACTTTTCAATTGGTGAAAATCAGTAAAAATCCAAAAATCAGCTGTTCCCCCCTTGAGTAGTCTTGTAAAAGTTCGTCATTAAAGAACCGAATTAGCCTCTAAACCCCGCTTTTTTTGATGCGACGATAATCACGAGGCAGAAATTTTGTAAAAGGAATTATTTTACTAGAACGAAGAGACAAACTTTTGCACGAAAAATGTGAAAGCTGATTGGTTCTATGGCTCGCCTCTACGAAAGTTACATATTACTGTTCGTGATGCATGTTAGTAATTCAAAAATAGGTATATAATCAAATACCGGTATATTTAATTAATTATGTACGAAAAAAGACATCCCCGTTCATAAGGTAGTTGCATTTCAGTGGCCACTGACGAGGGAACCTTTCGAAGTGATTAAACGCTGTTTGCTAGGAATCAAGTGGGTTATAGGTTATCGATCATGCTGATTACGAAGATGACCATGGGGATTGCCCTTAGCCCCTCGAAGATCTGTTTTACTGGAAAACCAGTTTTTCACAAACTCTAAAATATAACCCGAACCTTTCTTAATGAGGCATGATTGTAGCCCGCACATTTCTGATTGAAATGAGACATCTCCCAGCTTTATACAACCTTTCTTGGCAAAGTTATAGAATTTATAAGAAAAGTCCTAAATTAATTTCTTATTTCTGTACCTTTGAGCTGACAATGAACATTTAGGGCTGTTCTTGTAAATTGTATAACTTTGTAAAGAAAGGTTGTATAAAGCTGGGAGATGTTTCATTTCAATCAGAAATGTGCGGGCTACAATCATGCCTCATTAAGAAAGGTTTGGGTTATATTTTAGAATTTGTGAAAAACTGATTTTCCAGAAAAACAGGTCTTTGAAGGGCTAAGGACGATCCACATGGTCATATTCTTATTCAGCATGGTCGATAACCGAGCAAAAAACGTTTAATCACCTCGAAAGGTTCCCTCGTAAGAGCCAATAAACAAAACTCAGAGGAGAGTCAGGACTATATTTTGACAAAAAGAAAAATTTCACCTGTTGTAAATCAGAAGTTATCAGCATTCTACGAAAAAAAAGTGAAACGCGCATATCTCACGAGCCATTCTGTAAAAGGCGTCTATACCAATGGGATGATTGGTATTCAAAGAGATATATAATCACATAAAGCTCGAAATCCCTAGTTATCATGGTTCTTGAGTTACCGAGGTTTCACTACTTTTGTGGAGTACAGTTCATGTATCAACTAAACAACTAAAATAATGTTTAAAATGCCTAAAAAGGTTTAACATCATTCGTCAATCCTTACCAAATTATCACTAATATTAGAGCCTTAGCGTATAGCACATTTTAATGCGGTGCATATGACGACATTCAGATGCATTTGTTATGACGGAGCGAGAAACGGAATCAAACGAAAAAACAGAAACTTTTCGTTTATTGGCGTGGGAATGAATTACTATCCTACCTATAAAAGACAAACGGCACAAAAAGACGAAGAAAATGTGTTATCTTTTTCTTTTTTATCTTCAACAGCTTTATCTTCATCATCTTTATCTTTCTCGTCTCATAGTCACTGTATTTTCTTTTCTTCTGCATAGGCTACCTAATGTCACATTTGTATTTCTGTATGCGAATAAAAAAGGTGTACTATACGCTAAGGCTCTATTGAAGTTACAGCTGACTATATGAAGAAAACTTGAAACTCGTATATCTTTATTTACAGTTAATGAAAAACGTTTTTGTTATTGGCAATCTCTGGTTTATAGTTTCAGCTTACGCTGAAAAAAATCCGTTTTATGATCCGACGTATCGTCACTTTGCTATAGCGATTCTACGACATCTACTAATGTCCGTCACAGTGTAAATTGGATCTTAAAAGGTTAATGACCTCTGACGTTTTGTTCTTTGAAAAAATTCATTAGCTTATTGTTTTTGTCTTACAGTTTCACGATTTTTATTTGCTTGTTGTTGCCGAAGATTTAAGATATCATTATCTTCATCAACTTCATTGTACAATCGCAGAATTGCTGATTGTTCAGATAATTTACCATCATCATTTCTGTTTGAAACTTCCATCTCCTCCACATCTTCAGAGAACGGTGTGATAATGCAAATTTTGGATATTGTAGATGTTATGGTGGTAATCCCAACTCATGATCATGATCTGTACATCTTAAGTCACCCTAGACGTTTACATAATCCGACTTTTAGCGTCTTAGACATTCAGGTAGTTTAGAGTAGAGACCTGCACGGGTTAAGAACACCTAACCCGAACTCGACCCGACTGCCAGAGTGCCGACCCGCACCCGACCCGATGAAAACAATCTCACCAGAAAACTGTGTTTGAGAAAGAATATAGACTTGCCTTGTTAGACAAAAGTTTTTCGGTGCATATTGTAGAATCTCGTAGTTTAAAAAAAATTTTTGAACGACGTCTGATTGGTCGTTTTGTCTAAAAGGTTAATCTATTGAAAATTCCTCAGTACACTTTGTTAATAGGTTATCTTAACCGAGATGATGACCACATCCTTTTTCTCATTGGTCAGTCAGTATCACCTAATACTAAGATAGCA